TTTTTAGGATTTATAGGGCTTATAGGGCTTATAGGGTTTAGCCGGTTTAGGGTTTTAGAATCTAGGGTTTTAGGGGCTTCGGGGGGCCCAGCCCAGGCTTGTTTGCCTCCCCCTGGGATGCATGCGTTCACGATGCCCCTCGGACTTGCCAGAGCTTGGGCGCTGTTTATGGCGCCATATAGAGGCGTGAAGCAAAGCTATTTATTATGTTAACTATATATATATATGTGTATATATATGTATACACGTAACACAATGCTGTGGGGTATTTACTATAGTAACCATATCTATGACAAGGTTCCTTGGCACTTGTTATTCTAGCATATATGTTAGCTGGGTTCTTGTTAAGGGATTTAGTTTAAGTTACCATTTCCTTATTATGGTAACTTAAATAAACATCCTTTAACAAGAACCCAGGTAAGGATATTTAATATTTAACATTTAGCATAAGGAACCCCAAGGACCTCGCAGTCCAGAGCTTGGTGTTCTCACGTTGTAGTTATCGGGGTTGGCTTTAGGGTTTAGGGTTTCGGGTTTAGGGCTTTAGGGTTTCGGGTTTAATTAGCGTTTAGGGCTTAGGGATTGTTTTGGTGCAAGTCGCAATTTTTCTCCTGTCAAGGCTTGGCGTTCGGGTTTTGGGGTGCAGGGGTTGAGCTTGGGGTTTGACGTCGCATCTTTCGGGCGCGTGTTTGCACAAGCTGACATGTTCCGGGGATCAAGTGCATGAATTAGGATACCGTTCATTTGTGGAGAAAGGGAGACAGGCTCTGGAACGCTACATACGACTACGCCTAAGCATCCGACGCGTTAAAGCTGAGCAATGCAAGCCCCTGCGTCCGAAGTCAAAAGCCCCCAACCCAGAACCCTAAACCCTCTAAAACCCTAAAGCCCTATACCTTGGATACTGCCCCGACTCAGTAACAGTTGAGTAATATTCATAATATGGATATATAAGGCCCTGAATAGTAGCCCTATTATAGACGGTTGCTGTGTGGGGGCAGTACCCAACCTGTACCCTAAGCCGTAGCCGCGTCGTTTTCCCTACACCCTTGGTATAAGCATCGGCCATTTTCGGCTCAAGGTAGGGGCCTTAATAATTACCTACTCTATTTGGGCGGGGTCACTTATTAAAGAGCATCATGTTCCCGAACACCCTAGTCGAATTGTTAAGGCCCCTACATTAGGGCGTTGGGTGTTGAGACATTAAGGGTTGGGGTGTTTGTGGCTTTTTGGCTGCTTTCGGTTGAGGTGGGGTCAGACCCTCGGTCTCTCAGTGGGCCCTTTTTCCCCTTTTTTGTAGTCTTAAGTTCCTTAGAGCGCTACCCCCTATCCCACCAAGGGAGCCCTCTTTATTCCTGGGCATCCGAGTACACAGCTCAATATGCTGGCTCTGCAAGAAGCGCCCACAAGTTCAGTGGCAGTGGAAGCTCAATAGTTTCCTCCACAATCCCTACAGCATCATGGTAGAAGATATCACATGCTCACATCGGATAGGGCCTTATTAGATGATCCTGATAGAACCACGGTATCAGAGCCAAAACATACCCCGAGGCCCAAAGATCGTTCTCGAAGTCGCTTTCACATCTTTTCTTTTAGGGCCTTGGACGAGGTGCAAATGCAGCTCATTGACTTCTGCATCTCCGTGATCATGGAGACGGACGCTCTGCTTAAAATTGTTCGGCTGTCACAGGAATTTACAAGTAGGGCTACTTGGAGGTGCATGGGTAGCTATAAGTACGGTTATAAGTCCCCTAATATGGGTTATAGCTATAGTTACCTTACTTACAACCCCACTTATAACTACCCATGAACCTCCAGGTACACATACGACAAGGTCCCACGTACTCCCCGGCGGCGTAGCGGGATTCGGGGCCTTCGTTTTCAGGGCCGAGCCTGAGTCCAGTGCCATAAATCAGCGTTTACCGGACTCTTGTTAGGGTTTAGAGTTTAGGGTTTACCGGGCTCTTGTTCAGGAATTTTATAATGTAAGTTACCATAATAGGGATCTACAGCAAACAGTATGAATATGGTTTCCTGAAAATGGTAACTTAAATTAAATCCTGTAACAAGAACCCAGTTTAGGGTTTGGGGTTCGAATAACGAATCTAGAACTGAGGCCTGGGCTCATAGACTTAGTGATATGATTCCTCCGGAGCGTACGTATAGTCAAACCTACTTCAATCTCCTCGTGTCAATATACTCTCACATAAAAGAATACAACTTGCGGAAGGTCCGATTGAAACTCGCTAAGGCCCCATGTTCGGATCTCGAAGCGAACCCCGTCGGAGGACACGCGGCGACAGATGGCCACTTTTTCGAGCCCGATCATGGCAGGAGATTGACTACAAGCTTTGGGGTTTCCCTGTTTCCGTGCAGAATTTCAGTATAAACCCTAAACCACTTTCATGTACAATATGATCCAAAGACCCTAAACTGTATTCAACCGTAGAATGTCACTGTAGACCTTTAGCCATATTCAATCGTACCTTGTCATTACAGGCCCTAAGCAGTATTCAACTGTAAAATGTCATTATATAAGCCCTAAACCGTCTTCAACTGTAGACTATCATTAGAACCCTAAATCCCAAACCCTAAACCCTAAAATGTCATTATGCTCTGAGGTCCATGTTAGAAGTCCATCTGGGATCGAGGTTTTCGCCGGGCTTCGTGTTAGGGTGAGGGTTACTTTTTCAACCCGTGTTAATGGTTTAGGGTTTAGTGTTTAGGGTTTAGCGGTTTAGGGGTTTAGGGTTTAGGGTTTAGGGTTTAGGGTCGGTTACCATAGGGCCTGAACCGTAGACTAAACCCTAAACGGGCACCGATTAGAGGGCCAACTGGATAGTACCTTTGAAGATTCCCGGCAGGAAACATGAAGCTGATGGTGCGCAAGCAGGCGGGCAGGACCATTTTACAGACTGGGTTTGGGGGTTAGGAATAAGCGTTCACGGCTTAGGGGCCGATTCTTGCTGTGCTTGGCCCTCGCTACTACAGACCCTTCTGACCAAAGAATCCTGATCCTAAATCCCTCAACCCCCAACCCTCAACCTCAACCGTAAAGCCCTAAAGCTCTAACTCCTCTAAACCGTCTCAAACCTCAATCCTGCAATCCTAAACCCCAAACAGACGTGCTGAGGGTCGTGACGGGCTTTGCACCCGAAGGTTTAGGAGCCTCCGGGTGCTGCTGCTGCCGCTGTTACTACCACTGCTCTGCTTCTGCTGACACTACTAGTTCTCGTGCCGCCCGCGCCTCTAGTACCCACAGTGCCATTCTTACTACTACTCCTGAGTTATCTTGTTCACAAATAGGGTTTGGCCTCAGCATTGTATTCACTACCAGTTGTATCATCTTCGGCTTCTTCAGTGTCACCATCCTCACCATCTACACAGCCATCGTCATCACATCGCCATCGACTCATCGACGTTTTCTTCTCCACAGTCAACATCATCGGCATCGTCCTTGACCGCACCATCGCCACCCTTCTTAATACTGTCTTCTGCACAGAAAGCATTCAAGTACAACTCTACATGTCTCTCTCTGTCTCTCTTTATGTACATATGCACATATATATATATATGTATATATATATATATGAGAATATATACACGCACATGTACACACAGACACACACATACATACATTCATCCGCACATAAACAGGCATGTTTTCTGTCTATGACTCCGGAGAGTCCTTCCTTGCAAGGTCTCTGTTTCCATATGTATAGACGTGTTTTCTTGAGTGTATTGCAAGGTCTATGACAACCGCTGGGACCCGAGCTTGGGCTTCAAGTCCGTGTGGTTCAGCTGGCTGCAGCTTTTCTCGCCCTTCCTGCGGCCTCGGCGGGAAAGTTAGTAATTCCTCAAACCCCTAAACCCCTAAACCCCTAAACCCTAAGCCCTAAGCCCCTAATTCCCTAAACCCCGAAACCCTAAACACCTGAATCCCTAAACCCTAAACCGCCTAAATTCTAAACCCTAACCCCCAAACCCTAAACCCCTAAATCCTAAAACCCCTCAACCCGCGAGGGGTTAGCGAGTTTGACTCTTCGGGTCTGGGGGCACTGGCCCTCTTTCCGAGCTACACCGACCTTTCCTAAGCCCCCGAAGCGTTCCGCTTTAGGTAGGGAGGGTCCCGAGTTTCGAGGGTTTAGGGCGTAGAGTTTGAGACTTCGGGCTTTGGGGTCTCGGGCATGGAGCTTGAGGCTTCGCGGCTTAGAGTTTCAGGGCTAGGCAGGGCCCAGGGCAAGTCTTGATGTTGGGGGCTCTGCATTTCAAAGTCTTGGCGTCCTACGAACGCAAGTATAAGTGCAGGCCACCGTGCACATCGACAAGACGAGACATTAATCTCGAACTAGAACTAAGGAGTCGTCGCAGGAGGGTCATGAGGGCTGCATGTTTGCACTAGTACTGCTTGTGAAATACCTGCAGGTGTTGGCAGGAGTCCTTTCGTTGAGGTTATCGTGGTCTCGAGCATGTTATACGGCTCGAGCATTTGTGCCTCAAAAGTCTCGCTGCTTCTGGCTCCTTGTAGCCATGCCACGTGCAGCTATGCCCCGTGCCTCATCGAGATGCCCCGTTCTGCTCGGCCTGCTTGCGTTGGCATGCTTGAGCAGGCCATCACCTAGCCCTGCCGCATTTGCAGCAATCAGTCCAATCAGTGAGGGAAGCAACGTGCCCTCGGTGACATTCAAGACCCGCACACGCACCGAGGAGAAGGTGGAGAATCCCTTTGATTGGAAGGACCTGACATCTGAGGAGCTCTTCAAAGGAAAGCGCGTGGTGGTCTTCGCTTTACCAGGGGCTTTCACCCCGACATGCTCGAGCACGCACCTCCCAGGCTACGAGAACAAGTACGATGAGATCAAGGCACTGGGCATCGATGAGGTGTACTGCCTCTCCGTGAACGATGCCTTCGTGATGCGTCAGTGGGGATTAGGCCAAGGCCTGGAGGAGGACAAGACACCAGGCAGCCTGGGGTTCAAGAAGGTGAAGCTTCTGCCCGACGGAGCATGCCTGTTCACCCGTGGCATGGGCATGTCGTGCGTCTGGGACAGCGAACGAGGCTTTGGCGAAAGGTCCTGGAGGTACTCCATGGTCGTCAATGACATGAAAGTAGCTCGGTGGCACTTTGGGAAACTTCAACTTTCTTCCTCTATGGTTCCTGTAGAGGTAACTCTTCATAAATACTTTTTAAGGGCCCCAAACCACAACCCAGGTAGAGAAGCTCTTCATGGAGCCCAACGCTGTACAGAACTCGGGTCCAGATCCGTTTGAGGTCTCGGACGCTGACACCATGTTGGCCTACTTAAAGAGCAGGTAGTTAAGGCCATGAGCCAGTGACTTGTAAGTTACAAAGAACTTGTAAGTCTTGTTGGGGGTGCAAGCCTCCGCGCCAAGATTCCTGAAGCCGATTATGAGTACATGCAAGTCTACGAGTCCTCAACCCTAAACCCTAAGCTGCTGCCGCGGTTGACGCAGAGGCTGGGGCACCCCAGGCCAGACTTCAGGAAAGGTCCGGCGAAGCGACGAAAGAGCAGGGTGCGTCGACTCTACGCGTTCCTGCAGAGCTTTAGCTCCAGAAGATCTCCTCTCTTCAACCAGTTGAAGCCTCGAGTGTTGGTAGCGTACTACTTGGTTTAGGGTTTAGGGGTTACTATTTTCTGGCAGTGTCCAGTTCGGAGTTTAAGGCCTGTGGAACCCACACGAAAACGGGAACGAGTACAGCGCACATCTGCAAAGCCCTTGTCCTTCTCCAGTTTACGGCAGGCGATGTGTTTCTTTTTGCAATTGTCGCACATGCAAGGGTTCCTTTAATCTGAAGCAGGCTCCCGCGGATGGCATCCTCATTGCAACATAGACCCAGCCCATTGCGCCAGAATGGCCCGTCAGTTTACATCCTTAGCTTTATCCCTGAAGCCCGAAATCCAAGCCATGCAACCCTAAACCCTAAACCCTAAACCCAACAAGCTCCGCGTTGTGGGATTGCTTTGTAGCAGAGGTGGCTGCTTGTGGGGCTTCTGGTCATTGCGGCCGGCATCGCCTTCTACTGGGCCGAGGAGCGGTTTTAGTTGTCGCAAACGGTCAATCCTAGACCCTTAACAACAAAACCTAACTAAACCTTAAACCCTCAGCAACTATAAACCTTAAACCCTGAACCCTCAACAACCAAACCTTAAACCCTAAAACCTCAACAACTAAGCCCTAAACCCGAAGCCCTAAAACCCTAAACCCTGAACCCCGAAACCCGTAAACAAGGAAAGCCCGTGAACTCACCCTAAACGCCCAGAAGGAACCTGGCGGCCCCGCTTGCAAAACCTCGCCCAAACTAAAGTGGTTTAGGGTTTAAGGTTTAGGGTTTAGGGTTCAGGGTTCAGGGTTTAGGGTTCAGGGTTCAGGGTTCAGGGTTTAGGGTTCAGGGTTTAGGGTTTAGGGTTTAGGAAGACTTTGAATGGTACCTTCGCTTCCCGATAAGCTTCTAGAATGCTTATCAAAGCCTTGCTGAACCCATTTGCAACCTTGCTAACCTCACAAAAAACCGACCAAACCTTTAGCACCACCTCTAAACCCTAAATCTCCCTGCGAAAGACCCCAAAGCCCCTGACACCCCTAAACCCCCTCGACCCTGCGACCCTAAACCCCTACACCCAACAACCCTAAACCCGAAAGCCCCAGGTTCCCTAAACCCTACAGCCCCAAGCCCTAAACCCCTACAGCACTAACCCATAAATCCTAAAGCCTAGGACCCCTAAACCCTACAACCCTAAACCCTTAACCCCATACAGCCCCAAAGCCCTAAACCCCAAGAAGACCCATATAGAGCCCTTATAGTAACCTTTTAAAGGAACCCTTTAAAGGAATTTTTTAAAGGAACCCTTTAAAGGAACCCTTTAAAGGAACCCTTTAAAGGAACCCTTTAAAGGAATTCTTTAAAGGAACCCTTTAAAGGAACCCTTTAAAGGAACCCTTTAAAGGAACCCTTTAAAGGAACCCTTTATAGTAACCTTTTATAGTAACCCTTTAAAGGAGCCCTTTAAAGGAACCCCTGGAGGAGGCACCAGAGACGGGCTGCTGCAGCGAAGGTCCCTGGACCTCCGTGAAGACCGGCGTTTCTCAAGGCGCCTCCACCCATAGGCCCCTGAGTAGTTCCTTTGTATGGTTTATATACTTCTAGAATTTACCCATAGGCCCCCTAAGTAGGGTTTAGGGTTTAGGGTTTAGGGTAGTAGTTCCTCTTTATGGTGTACATTTAGAATCCGACTAGGGTAATACCAAAAAGGAACTACTGAGGGGTCTATGGGGAATCTAATGGGCCTCCATTACGGGCTGCTTTAGAGGAGTTCCTAATTTAGGGTTTATGGTTTAAGGTTTAGGGTTTAGGGTTTAAGGTGTTTTGGGGGTTTAAGGTTTAGGGTTTAGGGCTTAGGGTCTAAACATTGTAGTAGAGTAGGTAACCTTTAACTTTTTTGTGGTAAAAAAACCCCTATATTATATAATTTCCCAAAGGTAACCCGTTAGTTCCTTAGGATAGTGGACACGTAGGTAAAAGGGCCACGGTTCTTTTAAGGGCTTCGGCTACGGCGGCCATGGTTCCTTAAAGAGGCTTGCTGTGCGGGTGTACGGCTCCTTTACTTTAAAGCTTTTCTTCAAGGGTTCCTTTATTTGTGGGCTGCTATAACCCTAAATGTTGAACCCTATAACCCTAAACCGGGGTCCTTTAAGGAGTTGTTTCAGGGTTCAGGGTTTAGGTTAAGGGAAATGTCAGGCTTCTGGGGAGGGCTTTAGGGTTCAGGGCTTTTAGGGTTTGGAACAGGGTCTGGGGGTAAATATATCTATCTCCATCTGTTTATTTGTGATATAAACTTAGTTGCTTTAACTTATAACACAATATCATATAGTATCAGATAAAATCATGTTTTAACATAGCAGTATACATATATAAATATACATATCAAGTCATATCAATATAAATATGAATATGAATATGTATATATATATA